ATCGTTAAGATCGTAGTTAGGAAATCGTCTTATTAATGTCAGTTGTGAGTGATTATGGCTTTTTGTATGATATCATCGTGAGTGTTTCATCAAGTACAGTTTGAATTCGTTGGTAATTATCGAAACGTACGATGTACGTCTCATATATGAGATAATAATTGAATTTTTCGAATGACCTAGTAATGATCATTCGGACAATGTACCTACCTACTTCTTTATAAAGGTATGTTTTGAATAATTTATATCTCCGCTTAAGGTCACACCAGACACACGCGATTTCGATCGTGAAAATCGATCATACGGAAGTCCAAATTTATAGCACGATCACCACCGACCATTTTCCATAATGACGTATAAAGCTTAGCCAGGATATCGATCCCCTTTCCTTTTTTTTTAATTTATAAAGGTCGTCGTTCTCACTTTCTTCTCTTTTTTCTCTCCTTTTTCTCTCTTTTTTTTTTATTATCAATCGTTTCTGTCAACGTTCTGCTGTTACTACAGTTTAGATAATAAAAAAAAAAAGAGTGGACGACTTTATGAAAAAATGATACTCGAATGACAGTATTTTTCAAACGGATCTGTTTCTCGAATTTTTGTACAAATAAAAAAGAAACGAAATGTAATGAAAACAAATTGGAAGAAAAATATTTTTACAATTATTTTCATATGTTCCCTTTTTGTATTAATATTCATAACTACTGGAAAGGATTTCCAATTTCTTCTTTTTTTTTTTTTTCTAATTTCAAAACGAGCTTGAAAATCGATTTAAAAAAAAAAAATGGCAAACCATTACCGTTACGTACCCGATTTAACTCGATTTTTTGTCCTTTCTTGCTAGTTTTTCACACTCGATTTCAAACCACGAGATTAAATCGTACGGAAATTCAATCATTTATAACAAAAATAGATTAGAGACACTATAATATTTAATTATTAGCTTGCTCGTTGTTCAACGCATTTTGGTGTTTTTTTCTTTTTAAATTATTTCATTAATTTCTCCTTGGCCGCTCATTATTATTCATAATTCTATTTGAACGAATTTAACTTGTCGAATTTCTCGAATTAGCCAGACTAATTTTCCACTTTAATGTTGTTCATTCAAAAACTCGTTAAAACTGAATTTCCACCAAGTTCGTTATTATCTTCTGGATCAAACGACGATTAGAATGCTACGAGAGAGATTATAATCCTCTTGAATATTTTTAATTTATTCGAAATAAGGATTAATACTTTCAACTAATTTTAAACTAAACAAATATATTTCATATATATATATTTTATATCTTTATGATTTAGTAAAAATTTATTAATCAAATCTATTTCTAATAAATAATTTGTATTTTATTTTTCAATCGTTAGAAACACGTGTTAACGATAATAGAAACATCTGTACGATCCGTTGGCACGTGGAAAATGGTTCTTCCTTTTACGTTTATGGTTCCCTGTGGTTAACATAATCGATCGTCAATCCACCTATTCCTGTTACACCCATTTCGTACACAAGATTTATTGCATAGTTTATATATAATCCATTTTTCTACTCCCCTTTTTCGTTCTTTTTACACCATTTTTTTATGTCAGCATTCTAATTGCAAACCTAAGAGCTTTTATTTAAGATGGGGAATCTTTTTAGTATGGGGAAACCTAAACGAAACAAGGGACTACTACTTTCTGTTTGGAAAACAAACAGGAAAAATGTAAGACACGGTCTTCCATCAAAGGATTTGTTACCCTTAGATATCTTTTATCTTGTTATGTGAACGGCCAAAAATATTTTTCGTAGGAGTCCTTTTATTTTCGTATTGGTAGATCCCCAATCTCGAAGGAACAAAAAAATAAGAAAAAAGTATGGATTTCATCTATTCTTTTTCATATTTATAATAATTATAGCCAATTGAGTAAAATATTTTCACGTGAATTAGTTAAAAAAAAAATAAAAAGCTTTTACTGTGTTAAATGTTATTGCGTAAATGGTGTTTATAAAAGTGATATAAGTCCATTTGTAATATAGTATAATTAACACGACTTCATTATTTTTCTATCTTTGGTTTTTTTTTCTCTTTCTATTACGTTTTCTTTTTTAAAACGTTTCATTTCATTACGCGAGTTACAAGTGATTCTTCAAAGTTATCCAAATGTATTATTATTATTAAGAGCACTCGGAAATGATGTTTTTCGTTAATAATTTTGATGAATTACTATCTCGTAATAATATTAAACAAATTGAGAAATTAATAACAAAATATTACACTGACGCGTGAACGTCGATAAATGTTTATTAATTATTATCAATGCAAACCTTTTAAATATCTTACAAAAATATAATAAAATACTTCATATATCGCGTTATATCGTATTTAATTAATGAACGTAGGAGAAAGAATTTTTTTAATTACTTCCAACGCAAAGACCTTTAAATATCTCAACATTTTTTTTTTCTCCAACCACTCCCAAGAAAAAAAAAACAAAAAGAATAAAATATTTCGTATATCGTGTTAAACTAAGCCGATTCATCTCGACACGAGATAAAAAAAAAAGGAATAAGAAGAAACAAAAATCCTACTTTTCTCATATACCCTTCATCCAAATATCGTATCACATAATATAAAGAAAAAGAATAGGAATAAAAAGAAGAAGAAAAAGAAGAAGAAAAAGAAGGAGAAAAAAAGAAATATAAGGAGGACAAAGAAAGAAAGAAAGAAAAAACAAGAAAAAAATCATCCATCCTCCTACACGAAATGATCCTAAGGACGACTTCCTAGGATCAGAGCTCGATCAAGTTTGCTGGCGGGTCAAGGATAGGCAGGATGTGACGTCACAGGCTTCCAGAAGATCGATATCCTCTTGCTGGCCTGTTCATTCGTTCGTTCGTTCGTGTATTGCCGTCACCCTCGACAAACGCACTATCTTTCCTCTTTTTACTGGCCTTACTTACTATCAAGGCAAATTCTCTCTCTTTCTTCTTTATACGAAACCATTATTATCTTTCTCTCTCTTATTTCTTTCAAGAAAATCGCGTTCGAACACTCAGCATAAAGGTTCTTTTGCTACCGATTTCACCTAACACACAATGGGGCTACCACTATCATCTACCATCACTAAACTTTACTCTTATTCTTTTGATTTTTTATTTTTCTTTCATTTTTTTTTATCCTACATCGTCTTTATTTGCTGTTCCTTTGAAAAAAAAAAATATATACTTCCTAATGAAAAGCTCGTGCTTTCGATATATACGGATACAATACTTTTTTTTATATATGTTACTAGAAAAATACACCATATATATATATAAATATACTATTGTTACTATTATTATTCTTAATGTTTGATTATCCTTTCATCGATTCTATAGAATTGTTCAACTCGTCTCAAAAAATTTAATATATTTATATATTATATTATTATTTATATATCTGCTCGCGGATTATACGGATTTTTATCTAATACGAATTTTATTATATTCGGAATTCAACGTTATCGATTGAAATAATATTATAACGGTGTGTTAGATATAAGTAACTTTGATGTGTTATAATGTTTAAGATAATTAAGATTAATTTAACGCGAGTGAAATTTATTATTGAAGACACAAGAGAGAAAAATTAGTCATACATAAAAGGTATTCTTTCTCATTGTGGATAAAAATCAATTCAACATTTTTTTTTGGCAATTCGACAAAAGTTCTTAGGACTTTAACTGGAAAGTTTTAATGCACTCACCTAACGGTCCAGACTAATATACTTCACTAGGTCAGACTATTATTTATTACGATTCTTAGAACACTTTTTCCTTTTTTTTTTTTTATTTTTAGTACTAATTTGTACGTTTAATGGAAAAGAATTGCAAGCTAAATTACCTCTGAATGATATAAATACTCCGAAACGATAGAAATATTACATAAGATTAATGATAGAAAATTATTCAACAAAATTATTTATTAAATCATCCGTGAAAAATTAAATCTTACGTGTAGAATATTTTGTAATTTTGTATTCATTGCGAGTTATATACGATCTTCACCATTATCGTTTTTTCTTTTTAAATGGATCGTATAAAACTTGGTAAAAAAAATATATAACAAAAAATATTGTTTATACGTAAGATAAAAGGCAAGAAATTTTTGAAAATATAATATAATTTTTAATTTATATTTATTTTAACAAAACTTATATTCGACTATCCAATGTAACAATAACTTATTTAATAAAAGTATAGCAATTTACTTTTACAACTACCATAGATTTTTCCTTCACAAAAGAAAAAGGGAATTCTTACTGCACTTGAAATGTAAACGTCGTACCATTTCAAAGTAATTTTCAAATCGTCTTGGGAGCTTAGTTAGACATCTCTACTGTGGACTACGAATGTCCTAGATCTTAGAATATAATAGTTCATAGTTATCTACCATTTTTTCCTTCATCCCATTATTTGATTTTCTTTCGTACGGAATAATGATTTCCAATTAGACTTCATTTCTAATCACCATTTTTAAATAAAAACTCGTCTAAAATATTTTGTTATATTTATTTATTAAAATAAATTATATTTTTATTACTTATATATACGTATAATTAAAAATCTTTTCATAGTATTATTCTCTCGATCTCGCTTAACAGGATTTATCTTTCAGCTTTTAACTATCGCGAGAAGCTTATCCAAGCTTACAAGTAATCTCGATCAACAATTTTCTTAAGTTTTATTCCTGCTCTTTGAATATTCGAACTATTTAGTCGAGTTATATTCGGATATTACCTTTAATTCTATGATAAATTGTTTGAAATTGTTTTCAACATTATCTAACTTTTCCCAAATCGATTATTTTCATACTTTTATTCGAGAATTTTTCTATAAACCAATTCACGCAAGACACGATTCTACTCGTCGAAAAAACAACATTAATTTGTTAGAAAAATGAATAGAATTAACGAGACGTAATTTTGTATAATTGAAACAAAATAACAAAAAAAAAAAAAGAAACAAATGGTTTTTTTCTGGAGCAGATGCTGAAATCCTGTAGGACTTTGAGTATGACAGTACGCGGACCAGCATTAGATCCTCGTTGTAGAGTTGGTCATCCTGTTTGGCCATCTTCGGGTCGTCAACAATCTTGCAGTTGGATGGACCGTCAAGGAAGACCAGCCTCACCACCACCATTTTTTTCCTCTCGAGATTCCAGATATGGACCACGAACGCGAAAGGTCGAACTTTGCATCGAACCAGGACAATCCCTTGGTCTTATGATCAGAGGTGGTCTTGAATATGGCCTTGGAATATATGTCACTGGAGTAGACAAGGACAGTGTTGCCGATCGTGCTGGACTTTTGGCAAGTAACTCTTTTTTTTCTTCTTTTTTATTTTTTTTTAATAATAACAATATTTATATCATATTATTTTAATTAATTATACTATTATACTTATATTACTAATATATTTTTAGTATATAATATAATATATATTATTATTTTTTAGTATAATATTGTATTAAATTGTCAAGTATGAAATGTATAATTAAATGTTTTTATATTATTTATATGTATGTCGTTTACAATTAGTGACTTTTGACAGAACACGTACAATATATTCGAAGTATATTTATTTTGTAATTTTCGAGCGTAGGTCGGTGATCAAATCATAGAAGTTAATGGACAAAATTTCGAGGAAGCAACGCACGACGAAGCTGTACAAATTTTGAAAACGAACAAGAAAATGAACTTATTGATACGTGACGTAGGAAAGGTACCTCATTCTTGTACGACCAGTCAACCAATCGTCATGCCTACTTCGAGATATTCTGATCACGATCCTCTTATTCTCGAAAGTCCTGGAAATCATCGGCCACCTAGTCCTGCGTGAGTATTACACATATATGCATTATTTTATAGAATTATTTCATTATTTCTAATATAATATAATATTTTAAAAGTACAGAAAGTAATATTCATTTCTTTTTTCTTCGATGGCAAATTAAAGATGATTGTTAATTTCTTTTTTTTTATGTTTTCTACAAAAATGAATATTGTTTTATTAATTAATTTATGAATTTATCAAATGAAAGTGGTTATTTGTAATTAATTTAATAAACATACAGAATTCCGAATTATTTGGATGAAAAAAAAAATTTATCTAATACGTAAAAATATAACGAATTGAAATATTATTTAAAAAGTAGCACGAACGATTGGAGACATCGGGGAGGAATTCAGGTTTCTGCAGCAACGGCAGCCATGGTTGAGGAAAAAGCAAGGGTCGTTCTAGCTAGAAGCGAAAGGGCTGCTTTGTCACATATTTTGGCAGATTATAGAACGCGAAGATTAACGGTAGAGGAATTGGTCGCGAATCTTGCCGATCTTTTGAATACTCATGAAAAATTGACCCTTCTTACTGAACTAAGAGAACTCGTTGATAGCAAGGATAGAGCTACTTTCGATGATTTAGTTTACAGACCACGCGTCGCAATGGCTAGGGTAAGTTTCAAAATGAATTTCATAGTAATTCATATATATATTTATGTATAACATCATTTTTTAATATGAAAGATTTAAAACGTACAAAAAAAAAGAAAAATTATCGCCTTTAAAATAGAACTTATGTGACATTTTATGAAAAATGTTGTTTTTTATTTTTGTGTTTTGTATTCGTTTGTGTTTGTTTTTCTTTAGAGAAAAGGAGACCGCGCTCATTCGGATCTAATCGTAACACCGTCTCTTCATGATCTTCCGGTAAGTGTAAAATGTTTTTTTTTTAATTTTTTATTATATTATAACGATATATTAATGTGATTTTTAGTCTCACTGCATACTCACGTGTAACGTAGATCTTATATTACACCCACAACACACGATATTATTATTATTATAATTGATTATTTTGATTATATTATTTTTCGTATTATTATTATTATTATTATCTTTTGAAATATTACTATATATATATAAATCTGTTATAGAACAATTTTTATCTCTTCTTGCTCATTCTCTATATCCTCTGTTATTCTATATATATATATATATATATTATATGACTGGTTAGATCCTTAATTGTGTGTACGTAGTTAATATTTATATTTTAATATACATATACATATCTATCTCTATCTATACATATAACTATATATATACTAACAAACATGAAGAAAACATTTATATACGTTATACAGGATTTTTCGAATAACCTCCAACAAAATTGTATTTTTCTTTTTACGAGATGCACAAGAATTTCGTGGATTTAAATTGCAAAAACAAAACAAAAAAAGGACAAAAAACATTTCGCTTAAATTGAAACAAAGAAAAAATAGAAACATTTCTCTATAGATTCGAGAAAAAAAATTATTATTAAATCCTGTATAAAATTTCGAATCGAAATAAATAAATACATACATATATATGTTTTTTTTTTTTTGAAGATTTTTCTCTCACATAACGAGTTACGTTAGATCGGTAAGAATTTGTAATCGCTTGAGAAAAGAACTTTTTAACGATCTAGCGGGGGAAAAAAAAAAAGAAAATGTTGTCGTTTGAGAAATTTCTCGACGTAGACAAATACTTACGTAGGTATTATTGGTATGCTCGATCTCCTTGTCTTTCTTCTTTCGTGTCGCGTATATTCTCGTTTAGCTAGCTAACATTCCGAACGTAAAAGTATGTGAACCTTAAGGAGAAATAAGATGCTCCCAGAAACCTAAAGAAGAAGAAGAAAAAAAAAAAGAAGAAAAAGAAGAAGAAAGAAGAAGAAAGCAAGAAATATCGTATATTATCTCAGAGAAGAAAACATAATGATGATGATGATGCTGCTGCTGCTGCTGCTGATGATGATGATGTTGATAATTATGACGATGATGTTCAGAAAAAAAATATGGATAACGAAAAGTAAACGAGTCGTTGGAGGGATTGCGAGGAATAACGGAAGTTGTCACCGATTTTTGGATGATAATATAATCGATATACAAAACAAAATTGATAAAATCATTTGATTAAACAAACAAATATCTCTCATTTAGAGATGACACGAAGATTTTCACGTTTTTGAACGTTAGTTAGACTAAAAATCGTATTCTTTAGTCACCCCCCCCCCTTTTTCGCGAGAGACAGCATGAATACTTTCAAGGAAAATAATATCCTGCATCCTTTCTCTCTCTCTCTCTCTCTCTCTCTTTCTCTTACCTCTATTCCAACTATCATTCTCTCTCTCTCTCTCTCTCTCTCTCTCTTTCTCTTTCTCTCGCTCTTTCTTTCTTTGATTTTCAAACTGATTATTATATACGATTCATTATTCTTCCTTTCTACTTACATATATCTATCTCTTTTGCTATCATTGCGCTGCCATTAATCACCAACGCTGCTTACAAACGAATAAAACAATTACATTTGTACGGGTTTGCTTGGTAGTAAGCTGTCTTAACGCTTGTTTATCGCTGCTTTTGCTTTGATTAGAAATAATCGTATTAGACGACATCTATTTGGATAATTAATTTAGCGATGTTGCATTAGAATAGGAAAGTTTGAAATGCGCTTGGTAGAAATATTCTAACTAGCTTTAATTTATATCTACACGATCGAGGATGTGTTTCTATGAGATATATATATATATATTTCTTTTTTTGGATATGCTTCTTTCTTTTTTAGATTATTTATTGTCAACAATAATTGTACAAATGTTCACTCGAAAAATCTTATATTTATTAATTATTTTTTCCTTTATATTATTCATTTTAATTTTGTATTTTTTTTTTTATTTCTTTTTCTTAGATCAGTTAGAAAAGTTTTCTTTCGTCTATTAATGTTTTTTTTTAATTTTGTTCTTTTTTATTGTTTTTTTCGCATAGTTTTTTCTTTCGTTGTTATTAACGCTCGTTCTTCGATGTACCAAGCGTGCGATAACGGTACACACACACATATATATATATATATATATATGTAATTACTTAACATGATTTTTCATGTACGAGTTCGCCTGAGCTTTGCTAAATTTTTTTTCTTTTATTTCTTTCCATAACAACGGCCGAGTGTGCAATCAAAATGTATTATTTTTTTTTTTGTTTTAAGACTTCGTCAACGTAGTAACTGCATAGATTAAAATAAAGAAGAATCGTACAAAAACAATTTTATCGCAAAAGTTTATTAATTACAATAGGATCTCATTGGAGGATACGTTTCAGTTGAATTATTGATGAAGTTAAAAGTAAAAAAAAAAAATTCAATATCGTTGATGTATCCTTTTTTTGCAATTAATGTTTTTTTTTTTTTTAAATCATCAATACACGAGAACATCGTACCTATAATAATTAAAAACTCTTTGTACGTAATAATTTCGCACACTCGGTTCGAAAAAAACGCTGATACCGATTCGCAAAAAAAAAAATCGGTTTGAATCGCATTACGTGCATCGCCTCGCCAATTAGGAATTAGGGATCTTAGGATTATACGCCTAATCTATTAAGGGAGAGGGGAAACAAAATAATAATATGAATGTAAGTGGCAAGAAAAAAAGATCCTGTGACCTGGCCTGCGAACAAAGCTCGGGCAAGCTCGATAACGATCGATTTCCTGGCCAATCTGATATTTAACGATTTTGCGTATTTTTTTGTTATTTATTCACAAAAAAGAACAAATCTTTTCAAAGGGGAAAGTAAAAAAAAAAAAGAGAACAAAGGATGGGAAACATTCAGAATAGATAACCTTTTTTGTATTTTGATATATTTCTTTTTTCCCATTTTTTTATTCAGCGACAACTTTTGTTACGATTATTAAACAGTGATAATAGATCAATAGTGTTATTCGTAAAGTTAAAATTCACGTGCCACGTTATTTTTCGTATCGTTGAAATTTTCGGTTTGAAAATTTTTATCGAACGCGACGATATCTTCAATTTTTTTACGTAACCACTTTGGTGGCATCGAATATTTTCCTATAAAATGAAAATTTATAGATATACCCGTGTTTTATATACGATGATTGTAGTATCCATAAAAAAGAAGTTATGTTAGTACTACCATGTAGTATCAGTAGTTGGTCCAGTAAAATTATTTCAACATCCAAAATTGGATATCGTTGATCGTTCAAAAAATAAACCATATTGTAATGACATTTTGTAAACAAAACAAAAAGAAAGAAGAAAAACTTTTCTTCCTATATATATATCCCTAATTAATTATCACTGTCTAAATTATAACAAAAAATATTTACCTAGCAAACTGAAGAAAAAAAAAACAAAAAAGAAACCATAAAAATCATGAAAAAGTGTCTATTCTGAAGGTTATCCAAATAAAAATGGGGTCAGATGAGGGGATGGTAAAAATAATATTGTAGAAAGGAAAATCGTGTCTTGTCAGAAATCGTTGGCCAAGAAAACCGAACGACCGAAAAACGGTGATTAATCGAATTGGCTAGTGAGACGGCATGACAGGATCTGATGATTTCCCGCAGAGGGGTGTACCCAGTGGTTGTTGCCGTCCGGGACGACTGGTGGACGTCGAGGGAGATCCCCTGGGAGTGACAGGACCTCTCCTGCCACGGGATAATCAAGAGTATAGGTCACCGAGCGAGGACAGCGGTCTCGGGGCTGATATGCCCAGGACCAGGTCGAATCTCTCAAAGTTTTTCTCAATGAAACTTTTTAAACTATCCTATTCTTCTTATCTATTTCTCATATTTTTCAATAACCCCGACAATCATTCGGATAGTTTGCCTTTTTTTTATTTTATTTTATTTTATTTTAACCATAGAAATTGGACACATTGTTCGTTATTTTTTTTTTCGAAACCGATCAAACACGAATCAAAAATTATTCTTCGAAAAAGAAATTTTATTTATAATACGATGATAATATTAGACACGTTGATTAGATATTTGATTGAATGATTGATCGTCTTTGATCGGCATACGGTTGAAATAAAAAAAAAAGAAAAAGAAATAAAATGCTTAGCAAAGATTACGTAGAAATCCATCGAGTCAGATCGCACGTTTTTACGAATTAAAAAGCTTTACCTCATGTGTAAATTAAAATACATATGTTATACGATACATCAAAATTGACCTTTCTCGTTTTGCTGGCGCTGCTTTGATTAGAATTTTAGCAAATACATAGTAGGGAAGCAAAATATTTCGAAAAGAAATTAACGCGTGATTGAAGAAAATATAAAAATTAAAAATGAAAAATAAACAAAAATTCGAAAATTGATCGTATGCACCGGCATGCACTTTCATTAGAACCGAGAGAGAAAGAGAAAAAGACAGAAAAATAAAGAAATAAAAGGATAAAAAGGTAAACAAAAAAAAAAGAAAAAAGGAAAAAGAATACCACGCGAGTCCAAATGGGAATTCGATTTTCTTTAATACGTTTCGTACAATTCAATCTCAAATTCTTGTTAGAGGAAAGAGAAAACTCTCGTTTTAGATTTCTTAAACGATACTTTATCTAGGTTGCGTTTCATTCGTTAAATCAAATCACATTGAGAGCAAATTTCTAAATTTAATTGTACGCCGCGTGCACAACCAACGAAAAAAAAGCTTCAATGCTTATTTTCTTAGAGGTTTTTGTTTATTGCCTTTAAATTGCTTGCTTCGCATTTTTTACATAAGGCAAATCTTTATCTAATCACTTATATATATTTACGTATCACCTAATGGGATTCAGGTAACGAACGGTTAGAAGATTATACTAATACAAATCTATACTTACTTTAGATTTTCTATTTCGTGTTCAATCAAATTCGAGATATCTAATCTTTCATGATTTATTCGTGGAGTGTATGTGTGTGTGTGTGTGATGTATATTTGTTTGTATACATATAACAATTATTATGATCATTTCGTTTATTTTATATAATATAAACGTTGATTCGTAATTTATTATAAAAAAAAAGAAAAGAAAAGATAAAAAAGAAGAACAAAAATATTACGTGGATTTATGTTAGAAATTAGTTGAAATAATTTTCACCATAGTCGTTCATATCTTACGTTCTCTACTCCTTTCCTCTTCTCTTCCCCGATCATTTCTCTGTCATATTTTGTTTTTGTAAATTAAAATACGAGTCGTTGTCAAGTTAAACAAAATTAATTCGACTTGTTGTAAATTTTATTACTTCAAATATCGGATCGATGCTTAACTTATTAGTCATATTTATTATAATATTCATTTTCTAAATAATAAATAATTTTTATGGTTAATAATTAAAGACAACAAGTATAGAAATTTATAAATTTTTTCTGAGTTTCTTTTTTTAACTGAGCTATTTAATCCTACGAATGGTATACGGTTTATATTATTGAAGTACAACACGTGTTACCATCCAATTTCGAAATAAACCAATTTTAATTATTTTTTTTTTATTAACCCATTCCATAGGAATTTATTTATCCAATATACGTTATACGTTTCCGAAAAGCCATAACGTTTTTATTTCGCAACAGTCAGTTAATTCGTAATGGTGTTTCTATGTCGGATACGTTACCATCGAATATATTTTTTTTTCTAATTCAACTTTTCTATTTTTCTCTCTTTCTCTCTCTTTTTTTGTTTCTTTCCCCATCCTTTCTTTCTCACTCCACCTTCCTTTTCAACTTTACCTTTTCGTTCCAAGTGTTTTTCTTTTCTTTTTTCTTTTTTCTTTTTCATTTTCTCGGCAGTCACGTACAAACACGATTGACGATACATTCTAGCGTGTATACCTAACATGGACAGCAGATAATGCGGAAGGTAAATCATTTTTTTCTCTGTGTGAATCTGCGTGTGTGTGTGTGTATATATATATAAATATGTATGTATATAACTTTCAGTCGTTCAAACATGTAGGCGTAAAAGACGTTGTTCCGCGCGTGGGTTTAAATACATGTATACATATACACTTTGCAATTTTTTTCATTATAATAATCCAGGAAAAAAGATGTCGGGATAAAAATTTCAGCAAGTCGATCATAATATTTCGTTAATTAGAGAATATACAAAGAAAAAAAAAAAAAAGGAAGAAATAAAAAAAGAAAATGAAAAGCATTGAAAATCAAGGAAGTGTAAAAAAAATTTGTTACTAGGTCAAGAATACGTGGAGACATATATTATATATTACTGATTGAATTTGAATAGAGTAATTAGTATTGAATTTCAAAAGGAAACGAATTCATGTTTCTTCCTTTTATTTTTTATTTTTATTACTTTTTGTTTTTTAACCTTTCAATCTCGACGAAGAAAAAGAAAGATCGAATTACGATGATGCATCGCACAAATATAAATCAACTTTTGTTTAAAATCTCTGTAACAAATTATCGTGTCAGCAAACAAACAAAAAAATAGGATTTTTATACAAAATTTTATTTCAATTTTTAAACCATTCGAAATAATTCTTACAATTTTTCTTTGTAAAATCGTCGAGGATAAATCTATTTGTTATTTTTACGATACCATCAAATATTGATATTACGAATTTTTTGTTCTTCACATCACATTAATTTAAAATGAAAATGATTATTATTTAAAAGATATTAAAAAAAAAAACCTTTACATAATCGGATCTATCTTTTTGTTTTATTCGTCGTTCGATTAGATTGCAAGAGAAAAATAACCAAAAAAAAACAGAAAAAATAGTTTGCGAAGAAATAACGAAGAATTGTGTTAATTTTCGTGCCTGGTACGAACCAGGTACAAAGGTCGAAAGTTTAAAGAAACCGCGTCGCGATTCGGAGCCCTTGAAAATTTGAGCTTACGTAGAGAAACTAATGGTTTTCGAGGTATCGTGCTCGATAGGTCGTATCCCAGGTAACGAAACCAAACGATTCAACTTTCAGGAATCAAGAAAGTGAATGTGTGTGTGTGTGTGTGTTATATGTAGCGTGACAGAGAGAAAGAGAGAAAGTGTTAGAGTGAGTGAAAAGGAGAATGTAGTACTGTAATAGCATTTCTAACGTAACGTCCTATCGTTTCTTCTTCTCATAATTTTTGTCCCCATTTTTACCTATTCATTATATATCATCTCTAACAAATAATTTCACTTTTTGAAAAAAGATCAGAACAAAAATTTCTATCCATTTCGAAACCATATTTTTTCTCCCCCCCCTTTATTTTTGTTATCATCTTTGTTCCATCCTTTTTCCTCGCCTAATCAAAACGTCGTTGACATATTCCTCAAAGATATATATGTGTTTTTTAATTATTTCATAAAAAAAAAGAAAACCAAATTTTTGATCAAGATTGGTGTGGTGATTCGTAATGATTTCTATTTATTGACAAATATTAAAATAATGCGTGACGCGAAATGCAATGTTGCATTATTGCAGTGTAATCTCGAATGCATTCGGAGTAAAATAAAAATTAAACAATCGCGTAAATGGGGATAACAAATAATCTTTCTGAAACAATTATTAATCGTAGTGAACGAGAAACTGAAGTGTAATTGGTTGTATGCGATTATTTAGAAAACAAAAAGAAAGCACACGAAAAAAGGAATTTTCAATAGATCATTGGTGACTCGCGTGGTGGGTTTGGAATAAAAAAAAAGAAATGGCTGTGTGATTAATTTGGATACAAGATACAATGGTCAAAAAGGATCAGACTGATTGTGACAATTAAAAAAAAAAAAAAAAATAAAAAAGTAATAACGAAACGAAAGAAAAAAAGTAAGCAGGATAAAGACGAGTTTAGATTTGAAAAAAGGGAAATTTTGCGAATTGCAGAGTGTCCTGCAGGAGGGCTCAACAACATCAGGTGACTACCTCTGACCTCGCCCTCTCCAACGACGACGAGTGTGATAATCAGGTATAGAATGAAGTTACCTTAACCCCCTTCCCTGTCAATCAAACCCACACTTCTTTTATTCCTTCACTTTTATCCCTTTTGACGAATACAAATGTTTTTCTGTATATATTTTTATTTTCTTCTTCTTCTTCTTCTTCTTCTTCTTCTTCTTCTTCTTCTTCTTCTTCTTCTTTTTCTTATTCTTATTCTTATTCTTTTTAATAATAATCATAATAATAATAATAATAATAATAATAATAGAGAGGAATCGATGTGAAAGGAAAGCTGATGATCGTGTCTCTTCGATGGAAGATTAGTTGCATGATTCATATTTGGACGTGTACGTTTGATTATTTTTTTTTTTCAGGATTACGAGGACGATATTGACAGCGGACGAGGACGAAGACACAGCTCGCCTGGAGGATCACGAGGAAATCCACGAGATTACGGTCATCATCATCTTCATCCGGATAATTTGGTGAGTTCAATCGCTTTTAGAGTTAATTATTATTAACCCACTCTGTACTCGTTGTCTTCTTTCCGATCGGGAAATCAAATTCTTCGATTTTTCTTTAATCATTTATTCAATATACTATCTTATTAATCTATTAGTTATAATAATATGTTTTGTTTTTTTTTTTTTTTTTAATTGATATATCAATTATTATAGTTAAATTTCACGTTAGTTTCAATAGTCTTTTTATATTAATTAATTTTAGTATTAATTTGTTTTTGTTTTTCTATTCGAATATATTTCATTCCTTTTTTTATATTCTATAATTAATAATTTGTTATTTAACTATTGTACCATATATATATAAGTGAAATAAGATATAATAATATTATATTTATTTTATGTGTATATGTGTGACACATATATATATATACATAAGCTATTATTATTAAAACATTAATTATATTTCTCTCAATACATATTGCTATGGGAAGGGGGGGTTATATACGCAAAATTAATTTTATATATTTATATTATACAAATTCTTTTCTATTTTTTTTTTTTTTTTAAATTATTTTCATTAAACTTTTCGAGTCAATTTTCATATGGCAAAAACGAAGAAGAAAAAGAAGAAGAAGATGAAGAAGACAAGGAGCAGAGAAAAAGATAAATTATTTTCTTTTTTTTTTATGGAGATCGTAATAGATAAGATTACGAAGCGTTTAAGTTGTTAAGGGAAGGTGAAACAGAAATAATGGTAACGCGAATATGAGAAAACTCCCCCGACCCCACCCCACCCCATCCCGCCTCGCCCCCATGAACTTCTCTTTCTTTTTTTATCTCTCTTTCTTTCTCTCTCTCTCTCTCTCTCTTTAAATGATGGAGATGATGCACGTTTTACTCGATGAACGTGGTGCAGTCGTCGTAGTAGAAGCGTACACTATATATATCGGTCGTTATAGTTTAATTATAGCACGCGAATGGACGAGAAAGAGGGTTCAGGGTCGACCAAACGAAGAGACGAAGAAGCATCTTCGTTTCTCTCGTTAGTCAACTTTTACGTTCCTCCTGGCAAAACTCGTAAGAAATATCGCGTAAAAATGGCCGACTCGCGTGACGCTTACTCCCATATACACACACACATACACTCCACCTCCTTGTCACGAGTGCCACGCACGCGTTACTTTTTACAATAATAATAATCATAATAAAAAATTGCCTTAAATATTTTTGCGTTTTTTTATTCGATTTATGGTAGAGTTAAATAAAAAAAAAAAATTGATTAAAAAGTATTTTTGATTGACACGCGGGAAGGAATTTTTTTTTAATTTTATATTTAAATAAATAATATTATATTATAATATATATATAGAGAGAAAAAGGAATAAAATTATTATATACTTTAAAAAAAAGAACACTGATGAAAGTTACTATAAATAATATATTAATTTAGGTAGAAATAATAAAACACAAAAATATCGGTAAAACAAAAGGAATAATTAATATGCTATTTAAAACTATTATAATCAAAAAATACTAAAACAATATTTAATATTTATTCGAATGTGTACATTATATAATATTAAAACAATAAATAGAAATATATCTAAATACTAAAAGTTTCTTATTGACGTTATTAAAAAAAAAAATAAATTCATATGAAAAAATGAAAAACCTTGGAAGCATTTAAAATCGATTTAAGAACTCGGTTAAAAGTTGAACTTATGTTAGTGGCACTCGAGAGTAGTAGAAAAGCTTATGCGTGCGTGCGTGCATAAATGCGTGCATGCGACGACTTATCGCGGTTTGTTAAAAAAAAAAATAAAAATGAGTAAAAGAGAGATGAAGAAGAAGGAGGAGTCAGGTAGAAGTGCAGGTGCGCAGGATGGAAGAAGAAAAGGAAGATGATGATGATGATGATGATGATGATGATGATGAAGAAAACGAAGAAGAAGAAGAAGAAGAAGGTGGAGAGAGAGGGAGGGTGTCGGTCGTTTTGCTGCAACACTCCTGCGACCATAAAATCATCGACTCTTCGAGAAAATACTCGTGCAATGCACTTAGGAAATTTTTACTTTCCATTTTAATCCTTTCAACATATCATATTAAACGATTTTTTAACGGAAATAAAACCCTTTTTTAATTATTATTATTATTATTATTATTATTATTATTATTATTAGTATTGGTATTATTTGTAATTAGAGATCACAAATTAGAAAAAATTCATTCTTTTATATTTTTTTGTCAAACAAACAAGTTTCAGAAAATGCAGAACATTCATTTTTATAATTAATAGGATAGAAATATTATAAACATTTCTTTTTTTTTTTCATTCTTCTTCTTCTTCTTCTTCTTTTGCCGCAACGATAATCACACGAGTCAATAATTTTTATTATTCTATCAATATAAATATCATTTATTATTTAATTTCCCTTTATTCTCGTATGACAAAAAAAAACAAAACATGTATAGCTTTATAATTAATAATATAATTTAAAAAATAAAAAAGAAAAAGATTAAACAACGAGATATATATTTGACATCGTGGAAGATTACGAGAAGATTATACGAAAAAAAGAAAAGGCTTGGCTACGGATGAAACTTCAATCATAATAGTTATTTTTTTTTTTTGTCAGGATTAAATAAAGCCCTTGATAGATCGGGGTCGTAGGGTTGATTGTGAGACGGGGGGAGGATAAAGGGGGTTAGGTTGTTTGAACGTTTCACACGCGATCGTGGACTATAATAATCGAGATAATCGCTAGATTTCCCATCGCTTACCACGATGGATATTGCTCCTTTCTTAGTTTCCTCTTTCCTAGTTTATTTTTTATTTGCTACCTTTTTTTTTTATTTTCTTCATTACTTTCCTTTCTCTTTTGTTTCTTTATCTGATATACAATATATATATATAACACACAAGAGAGTGGAAAAGACGAACGCGTATAAGCTACTTCTTACCAGCTTGATGCAATTAAGATGATAGCGAGGTATTACCTTGCAAACGTGTGGTAGTTAATCGTTTACTGCAAGGTATATAAGGTATTTCTTTTAACGAATAAAACGTGGATCGGATGATCAAGAATATATGATCGAGATCGAAACAACTTGCAATAAAGTTACGATATCGGTATCATCTTCACGAACTTGTGATGACTATAACATGTTTTTTTTTTTTACATCTATTGGGTATTTTTGAAACAATTTTAATCAATACTTTTGTGGAAAATGAATCATTTTCAATGATTAAATAAATGTATTTGAGAAATAGTTAAAATATTATTGTTTATAATCGCTGAATATAATATTCGTTTACAATGATCATTTACGTTGTTAAATATTGACGAAATATATAGAATTGATTAATTAAATATGTAAATTATGATAAATAAATGTTGCATGAAAAGAAATAAAAAGGAGGGAAATGTCAATGTAAATTGTAAAAAAGGGTAATTGTAAATTGCTTTCGCGCTATGTCTAGAAATTACGTGGAGAAAATAAATGCAACGAACGATTCAATAGATAGAAAGATTGTCTGCCTGTCTTAAAGTCACCATTGAAATGTCTGTTGAAATTTTTCCATTCCTGCTGGTTAAATCGAACGTGCGAATACTAATTGGTGGAATCCACGGCGACTTGTAATACATGCGAAATATTTTTTCCGAAGAATTCAATGAAATTTTGAATAAAAAAAAACAAACAAACAAACGTAAAAGATCGAATCGTTCGGATATTTTTTAACCGTTCGAGATCAAAATTGCGCGATAGTATAAAAAAAAAAAACAAATTAAAGAGAGATCCAACGAAAGAGGAATTTTTTTTCGGATATCCTTTAAGACAAACAAATTGTTTATATAATTTTTATATACAAAAAAAAAGAAAGAAATATATTCAGCGTTACATCGTATTTTTTCATTTATACTTCTTCTTTTTTTTCTCTTTTTGTCTCTTATTGGAAAGAAACCAAATACACAATAAAAAATAGGTACACGCAGTTTAGTCTTACGAGCTAGAAAATTAATAATAATTGCGACGTTAAAATCGTCGAAGTTTAAGGAATAAAACGAGAAACAAGAAAGAAAAAAAAACAAAAAAGAAAGAAAACAAAAAAAAATTCAACAAAAGCGATCTCGCATCCAATCTGAAACCCCCTCGTAATAACGTCATACTGACCACAATTATTCAATCATCCCTTATAACATTTAGTTGGAAAATGTATTTAAAAAATTTTCATCTACGAGGGGGAAGCGATGAAAAATAAATAATAAACAAAAAAGAAATAAAACGAGTCGATTTTATAGACGGACACTTTTGTTTCTTACTCGAATTCGCATTTTCGAATAGGTTACCCCTTTTTCTAAACTTTTTCATTGTCGACGGAATTTTTATAGAAATTAACACACACACACGCGCGCGCGTACTCATATTTACATACATAATAAAACAAACGTTACACACGGCTTACGTACACACGTCATACCTACATACATACAATAGATACATATTAAAAAAAAAAAAAAGAATAAAAAAAAACACAAAAAAGAACGAAATTCGAATCGATTCGGATTGAAGTGGAAACGTTGTTGAGAGAAAACTCGAGTTTATTTAAACGATCTATCGATCCTTGCGAAGAGAAGGAGGTGGTGGTGGAGGAGGAGGAGGAGGTCGCGATCATCGAGATCTCGAGTTGTTTCGTCCTTGAGAAGAATAGACTATCGTCGTGATAAACGACGAGAAGAGGGTCTTGTGTCTGGCAAAATGTACGAGAGAAAAGTCTTTTCTTAACTTTGGTTCTCCTTGTTTTGTTTTGTTTTGTTTTTGTTTGTTATTGTTGTTGCTGTTGTTATTGGTGGTTGTTCTTATTCTTCTTCTTTTAGCTTTTTATCGATTCTATTTTTCGCGATTGGATTATTCGTCACGATCAAAGCTTGTCCTGTAACGCCTGACGAAGTTCCTCGGTGGCCTTGGCCACGTCTTGAACCTGTCTCAAGTGAACCTCTGGTCGCACGTGTTGCACGCTA